CCTTTGCAGGCTCAGGACACAACACCCCTTCCCCCCAGATGAGACTTATTAACTATATAGGTAGTTATACGCGACCTCAACACAAGCGTGGTGTGCCAACCCCAAACCTGCACATCTATTGCAGCTGTGCAATACCCACACCACAAATGGTACCGGGCTATAGTTCTGGGATTAATACTCAGTGCCCGTACTTCCATTTTCCACAACACCCTCTCACTTTTTCTGCTTTGCCAGCAGAGTTACAAAGTCCTCAAGATACTTGGGAGATCTTTTTACTCTCTGTGTCCTCCTTAGATTCTGAGAATCCCCTATTTCCTTTTGTACAGAGGATGACATGGAGTTGCCCCCTCTTTCAAACGCTGGTGGTCCCCGTGAACTGTGCCCCGTTGCCTGGTCTGCTTGCTTGCCCACCGGGCTCGTCAGACCAGGATTTAGCTCCCCCATAAACTTGGTTGACCTGCCTAATTGTAGGCTCTCGGGCCCCTCTATAAGCCTGCCACTGTTTGGCAATTCTGTAGGGAAGGCAAAGCCCACAATGGACCTATCAAGGGAATGCATCCCTTCACTCCCAAGCCCTGTAACGGGATTGTCTGGGGTTTCTGCAGTGCCCGAAAACTCAGTTTCCCCCCAATCTATGCCAGAGATGCCAGAATTGGGATTTGCCTCTCCGACCACCTCCCTGTGTGAAGGCTTCCTTCTGGAAGCAGTAGCAGTACTGGGCCAACTTGACTGTTTGTGTGCCAGATCTCTTGCAATGTTTGGGTTATTAGGATGCTCCCGTTTATTCTCCCTGACTGGAGTGCTGAATGGTAGTTGTGAATGATGAGTATGCCCCCTGGGTAACTCCCTGGCTGGAGTAGGCACTGGTGCCTGTGTGATTTCTTGTTCCCTTGAATTCCTGTTTGGAACACTTGCGGAACTTTGGAACAGGCCGTCTGTGGCCTCTCCGTTTGGCCCCGGCTGCTGCCAATACCCTTCCCTTTGCCATAGTGGTCCCCCTCCCTCCCGGAGAAAGCCCAGGAGTTCCAGAGGGTAAGTCCAGTCTCGTATGCAGCTGATCGATATGCTGCCAAAGGACACGACCGTCGTCCAAGGAGACCTTGTATGACAAAGTAACCTTGCATACTGCAGCAGGAACCCACAAGTGACCAGGCCTGTAGTTCCAGGTCCATACCGGGGCACCCACTTGCAGAAACCACAGTGCCCTGGGTTGGGTGACCTTAGGAGGCAGTCTGTCCAGGTGCAACCTGCCAAGTTTGTGATCATTTTGCGCCCCCAATGGAGTTCAGCTGGACTCTTCCCAGTGGAAGTTGAAGGTGTGGTGTGGTAAGCAAGAAGAAAGTCTGCCAACCTGTGCTGCCAGTCCCCGTAGGTCAGTTTCTTTAAAGCATCCTTGGTGATGCGGACCATCCGTTCAGCCATACCATTAGTGGAAGGGTGGAATGGTGCAGAGGTGGCATGACGAATCATGTTGGCCTGTAAGAAAGCTTGAAACTTGAAAGAAGTGAATTGAGGACCATTGCAAACACCAGGACATCAGGAAGCCCATGTGCAGCAAAAATCCCCCTCAGTACTTGAATGGTCTTGGTAGCAGTGGTTGAAGAGACATGTACAACTTCAAGCCACTTTGAATAGCTGTCAACAAGGACCAAGAAGAATTGACCCTGAAGGGGCCCAGCGTAATCTATGTGCACCCTAGACCAAGGTGACTGTGTTTCCTCCCATCTATGTACAGGAGCCTGGGGCATTTCTGGGCGTGAGCACTGACAAAAGTGGCATCTGTGCACCTGAGCCTCTATTTCCCTGTCTAACCCTGGCCACCACAAATGGCTGCGTGCAAGCGCCTGCATTCTGACAATGCCAGGATGGCCCTCATGAAGGGAAGCCAAGACCCTAGGCCTCATTGAGGTAGGAATAACAACTCTGCTACCCCACAGCAGACAACCCTGAAAAGTGGATAACTCATGTTTCTTAAGCCAGAAACCCTGAAACTCAGTACCTGGACAACTCTCAGGCCATCCAGACAAAACCCAGGACAATACACGAGTGAATGTGAGGTCCATGGCTGATTCAGCAGCCACATCCCTGGCATTTAAAGGTGACTCAGGCAACGCCTGAATGGAAAGAATGTTGATGGCAGGGGCAGGGTCAGCCTCTACCATTTGTAAAGGTAATCTGCTAAGGCCATCAGCATCGCCCATTTCCTTGCCAGGTTTGTGAAGGAAACATCATAGGCTGACAGAAAGATGGACCATCTCAGCATTCGGGGGAAATGATATGGGGGGTTTGTTTGTTTGTAGTAAACAACCCCAACAGAGGTTTATGGTCAGTGTAGACCGTGAAGTGTCTGCCATATAGAAAATCATGGAATTTTTTAATTCCAGCAACAATGGCCAAGGCTTCTCTATCTATCTGAGCGTAGTTTCGCTCAGCAGAAAACAAGGTTCTGGAGTAATATGCAACAGGAACCTGAGTTCCATCAGGTCTTAGATGGCTAAGTACAGCTCCCACCCCATAAGGGGAAGCATCACAAGCGATGCACACAGGAAAAGTTTCATTAAAATGTGCAAGCACATCATTTGATGTAAGTAAGGCCTTAACCTCATTGAAGCTTGCTTCATGTGCTTGTGACCACTGCCATACTGCCTGTTTGTCCAAGAGCCGATGAAGTGGCTCAGCTACATTAGCTTTGTTAGGTATGAATGCATTGTAGAAGTTCAAGAGGCCCAGAAAAGCTTGTAATTCAGCTTTAGACTTAGGCCTAGGAGCCTGCAGGATAGCCTTTAATTTAGACTCAGCAGGGTGATTGCCCTTGGCATCTATTCTGAATCCCAGGAAATCTGTAGAAGACACTCCAGTTTTACATTTGTCTTTTTTAAGCTTGAGGCCTGTTTTCCTGAAATGCAGCAGAACAGCCCTTAACCTCTCAGCTAAATTCTGAGTGGATTCTCCTGCTATTAAGAAATCATCAAAATAGGGGCAACCCCTGGTATACCCCTCAGGATGTTTTCCATTACGCTTTGGAAAATTCCAGGAGCCACATTTACTCTAAATTGTAGTCTTTTGACTTTGAATGCCCCCCTATGAGTTACAATAGTTTGTGCTTCAGCAGCAGCTTCATCAACAGGTAACTGTTGATAAGCCTGTGTTAAATCCAGCTTTGCAAAAACACGCCCCCCTTGAGGGAGGCCAAAATATGACTGACTACAGGTACAGGATATGCATGCTGTTGCAATGCCTTGTTTAGAGTGCATTTGTAATCTGCACAGATGCGAATGTCCCCATTAGCCTTAAGAGGCGTGACTATGGGAGTTCCCAAGGACTTGAGTCAACAGGTTCTAAGACACCTTGCTGAATCAATTTGTCCAATTCAGCATCAATTTTCCCTTTCAGAGCAAAGGGTACTCTCCTTGCCTTTACTCTGATAGGAGTGACAGTGGGGTCCAGTTTTAAGGAAACTGGGGGGCCTTTGTATGTTCCCAGCTGAGGGCTGAAAACATCTGCAAATTCTTTGCAGACTTCCTGTAGACCTAATGTTTGCAAACTGTGAAGCCCTGTAACTTGTATACCCAAGGCCTCAAACCAATCGAGTCCAATGAGACTCGTGCGCTCACCCCCAACTACTAATACATCTAATGGACCTTCAAAATCCTTGTATTGTACATTAAGGGTGGCCTCCCCCTTAACACACACCTTGGAATTTTGGAAGTCCGTTAAGACTATATTGGATGGCCTAAGCTTGGCCTGGAACCCATTGCTAGAGCAAATCTTTCTGAATGTGTGAATGGAAATAATTGAAAGTGCAGACCCAGTGTCTAATTCCATAACCAATGGAACTCCTTGCAACTTCATCTTAAGTGACAGTTTCTTTTTAAGTGGCTTGTGTGTGCCTGTCCTATAAATTCTTCTACATGATGCACAGAAACCCACCCTGTTTTGGCTGGGGACCCTGGTACCTTTCAGGCACAATTCTTCTTGGGGTTGTACCTTCTGATGGCCCAGACACTCAGCTGCTATGTGGCCTTGCTTTCCACATGCTCTACAGATTGCAGAACGGAACCTGCAGTCGGTGCTCTTGTGGCGACCTCCACACCTGAAGCACTTGGGTACAGCTGAAGACTTTTCTTTGCCTTCCTTCTGCTTTCTTTCTTTGGCTGGATAGAGATGATCCACCTCATCTTCAGGATCTTCTTCCGAGCTCTCCTGGACTCCCTCATGGTGCATGGAGACGGCTTCTGAGTTGTTCCTGATAGGCCTCATGTTCTTGACTGCCCAACTGCTGCCTCTTCTGCAGTGACCTCTCTCAGGCTCAGGACACAACAGTTTCCTGCCTGAGTAGGGGGTTGGACTAGAAGACCTTCAAGATCCCTTCCAATTCTGTTATTCTGTTCTAGTGAGTAGACATTAGTTCTGCTTAGTTTATTTTTCCAAAAATGCATTATGTGAAATATAATTGTTTTATGACATTAATGCTCTATTATTCCCAGGTCCCAGAACTGAATAAAAAGAATATCAACAGCCAAGGATAATGCTACCCAATGTTATTTCATAATATTTTAGACACATCTAATGTAGGAGACTTTGGATTGCTTTTAATCTGTTATTATTTCTGAAAATTTATATTTCTAGTTGTCTATTCTATCCATATAGTCAAATGTTATTGTCATCTTTTGTGTCTTAAACCATTCCTGATAAATACTTTAAACACAGTCTAGAATGTTTCATATAATGAATATACTATGAACTCAGATTCATATCAAACAATATAAACTTTTAAGGAAACCCAGATATCTGTGAAAGAAATTTTTGAATGTTGTCTTAAAGTGTATCATTGTCTCTTCTCATTTCATCAAATCTATAATTCAGTATGAAAATCTGCTGTAACTGAGAATTCATTTTTTAAAAATTGCCTTACATATCCTTGTTTATTGTTAAATTAAGGGTGTGCAGTAAGGCTTATACAGTAATTGCATATTGAAAACATATTTGATTATTTTCTAGTTATTGAAGAATCAACTATAAAGCCTACAGAAATACCAGGTAAGAAAGTAATTTTATAAGAGGTAAGAATGTTATTTTTAAAATTCAATAATAAATTTTCTATAGCTGTGACCTGAAAATTCTAAATATATAACTCAAATATAGAGGAATATATTTTTGTAGATTAAAAGATTTAGATGATAAAATATATTTAGTGTTGTTATGAAAACTTATTTTATTTGCAGTGAATTGTTAAGTTACAATAATTATATAGATATACAGGCCTAATAGAGCCTGCCCATTAGGCTCGTAATCGTCAAAAGAATCAGACTCAATATTACAACATTTTTAAATCAAACTCATTCATTGAATCAAATGAGTTGTTAAATGAATGAAGGTTTGATTTATTATTTCTTCTGATGGCTGCCTGAACTTAGAGACTTTTCCCTCCACTGCTGCAGGCTGTTTCCACCACAAATCAGATGTTTCGGGTTTCAGGAACTACAGTATTGTAAATTGCCTCTCAAGCAGGCAGCAGGCTTTTTTTAAAAAACAAACAAACAACCATTTGTTGCTAGGCAGCTTAAACTTCTTCAGAGGGGGGTGGAGAACTCTCCAAATTGCAATTGCCACTAAATCAGGTGTGTCAAATTAGCAACTCAGGTGACATGTCACAATGTATCATTACTTTTTCCCCATTGCCGGAGCTGGAGTGGGCATGGTTTCAGCAAGGAGCATCTGGCCCACGGGCTGGCATTTTGACACTCCTGCACTAAAGTAAGTAGCTTTAAGCATCTCCAGGCAAGCATGCAGAAGGAGATGGGGGTGGAGTTTACAGAACTGTTGGCTTGCAACAGTAACTGAGTTGGAAGGGACCTTGAGATCATCTAGTCTAACCCACTGCTCTACAAGAGAGTACAGTACTGTACTGTATTTCTGATAAATGCCTATCCAGTCTCTTCTTAAAAGCCTCCAGTGAGGGAACACCCACAACTTCTGGAGGCAATTTAAATTTAAAAGCTTTAAAAAAAAAAAAAAAAAAAACACTGCCCCTGATCAGCACAAGCCTCTCCAGGCAAAATCCAAAATGGGGTGGGGGTGGGGATTTCCTTCCAGTAAGTGTCAGCAGAATCTCTGGTGGGTCTATGTTAGGTAGAGGAGCAGCAGTAGCCACATGCTATAAGTTTCAGGCAAACTTACAATCTTGCAAAATACTGTACTTACAAACACAATGAAAAACAGAGCAGTTCCCAAAGTGATTACAAACAATACAGTACAGTACTATAGAGTAACAAAAAAGAATATTTTAAAATACTTACAGAAGTAATTCTAGCTCTCTACAGTACTGTAGTCCTCAAGCCCAGCAAGCAACAGATCTTCCATGCAGCTCCAGAAAAACAAAAACAAATGGCCAATGCCAGCTGCAAAAATCACTGGATCTTGTTTGGCTATGTGACCAGGCACACACAAAAAAATACCACTTCCGGCTTCCCTGTAGGCTCAAACAGGCCCAGGTAAGTCACAGAGTTAAAATGGCGCCGCAGCAGCCAAGACTGAATCCAGATCACATGACTACAGAGGCCTGTTTTTGATAGCAATTTTGAATTTTTAACGTAAGTACTCTTTCTGAATAACCTCGGTTTTGTGAAATCTCGCTAAATAAACGCTTGTATCTGGAGGATTACCTGTAGTGCAATTTTCTTTTCTTTTTTTTCCAGAATGTACTGGAAATAATATCATTCTAGACAACCTTGAAATTTTGGTAGCTGCTGCCAAATATCACAGCTCTCAATGATAAACCATCATATTTTAGAGATATATCATCATTCTTATATTTCACAAAAAATTAAATGACACCTCTCTATCATGTTTTATTGCAGCACGGAAATTAAAGAGAGAAAGAGAGAGAGAAAAGACTTTTTTAAAAATAAGCCAGCCAGAGATAATATAAAAATCTAATTAAATCTCTAAGAATTTTTGTTCTAGTCAGTATCAAAGCCCAAAACTGTATTTCTAACTTCCCCTGCCACAGATGAAATCACTTGGATCAGGGGTGTCAAACTGCCAGCTTGTGGGCTGGACACATCACATGGAAGCTGCGCACACCCTACTGCGGGCAATGATAAAACAGTCCCGATACGTTGCACGATGTCATGTGACATCGCAAGTTTGACATGTCTGACTTGGATGATTTCATCATATTTATGAAACCAAGTTTTGAAAGTCTTCCTTCTTCACTTAATGTGATTGAATAATAGTGATTGTTTTCAGTTAATTATGATTATTTTCAGTTCCCAAATAAATAATTAGCAAAAAGTGATAGCCATAGCAATTCATAATTATTTTTGCTGTGGAAGAACTCACATTTCCTAGCCTCGATTTTGACACCAAAAGACTTATCTTCCACAGGCAATAAGTATCAATTTGCTTTGGAATCTGTAAAGAATGGGAAAAGACAATGCATTACAGTTACTTCCTTTTACTGAATTCTTCTTCTTCTTGTGCCATATCTGTTATCGGATGTTGGCGATCCTGTTTTTATCAGCAGCCGCACAAAAAAGTGCTGCTGAGTTTTGCCCACACCAGTCCCTTAGATTTTGAATCCATGATGTTCTTCTTCTGCCTGGACCTCGTTTGCCTTCAATCTTTCTCTGGAGGATTAATGAAGTATGCCGTATTTTTCTGGGTGTCGCATCATATGTCTGAAATATTCTAATTTTCATTTTTTAATTGTTTTGATGATTTTCCCTTGGCTTTCTCAGGCGGCTTATCACCTCCTCATTTCTGATGTTGTCAACCCAGCTTATACGTAACAGCTGCCTGTAAATCCACATTTCAAATGCTTCTAGTCTCTTCAGGTGGCCTTCTGTCAGAGACCAACTCTCTACTCCATAGAGCAGGATAGGAAAAATATAGCATCTGACAAGCCTGATTTTCAGTCTTAGGCTTATGTCGTGACTGCAGAAGACCTTTTTCATTTTGAAGAATGCTGTTCGAGCTTTTTCTATCCTTGTCTTTACTTCAATGGTTATGTCCCAGCTTTCATGTAAATTGGAACCGAGATGTGTGATACTTTCAGCTTTTTCTAGTGGTATTCTTTCCGAATTTATTGGTGGTAAATTAACGGGTTGTTTGCTGACGACCATGATCTTTACTGAATTACAGTTCGTAAATTCTTGGGATTGGTAGTTGACTCTTGTTGGCTCTGCCTTTATTAGATGACTAGATAGGATGCAATTTCTCTTGCCTTCTTTCTCAATGTAAAAAAGAAATGTCAGAGTTTTATTGTAATATAACCGTATTCAACGCCTTTTTCTTCTCTCTGGTATTTCAGTGCAAAAAGGAATGGCAGCTCATGACACAGCTGTGGTGGTAGTTTTGCCAATTATCTTCATAGCCATCAGTGCAGGACTTGCAGCCTATATTTTCTACGGAAGAAACCAACCACAAGAAGATTTGACAATTCTTTGTATAGTGACAATGTGGTTGGATTTGACAATTCTTTGTATAGTGACAATGTGGGTATTGTACATAAGGATTTCCAATCTCTTGTAGACAACCAAGAATTAAATTAACAAATATAACTGGAAAATGGCACAGTTGTGGTGAAAGTTTTCTCAGTTATCTTCATATTCATTGGTGCTGTACAGAATTTGCAGCCTATATTTTGTACAAAAGAAGAAAAGACCACATGTTTCTGCTGGATTTGACAATTGTTTATAAAGTGACAAGATGATTATTCTTTATAATGATTCACAATCTCTTACATAAAACAAATAATAATTAACAAATACAATTGGCACCCCATCCAAGAGTAAGACCCATTGGATACTATACATTCAAAATTTAAGATACTGGATTTCACTGTTTATAAATTTATACATTGCAGTATTTGAAAAAGTTTAGATCCTATCAACAATGTAAATTGGCCAGACCTGTGATATAAAAAAATGAATTTATTACAGTTACTGATTAAAAATATTCTGAATATTATACTTTCAAATTAGAGATTTTTTTAAAAAATATATAAGGATAATTTTTTAATTTACTGGAAACCAAGGGGCTGTGAGAATTCAGTAGTTTAAGCTTAGGCTTATCTTTTGTCAATATTTTAAAAAGAAAAACATAGAAGCTTTTCTTTTGTACACTGCATTTTATAGCCCCTGGGCTACAGCTGAACTTTGGTTGTCCCTGTCTGGCTCATGTTTGGTCAATTGGAAGTTAGAAAATAAAATGTAAATAGATGTGGAAGAAGAAGCCAAGTTCACTTCTTTAGTTGGCTGGTGAAAGCTTTTTTATGTGCCTGCACCAGAAGAGCAGCAGCCAGACTGAGGCAAGGTTAGATGAGGTGTGGCAAGGCTCCACACTCCCTCATCTCCCAACACTTGGGTGCCAGCGGCAGAATTAAGACTCGGGCCTCCATAACAGTCCTAGTTTCTGATGTTGTCCCTTGGGAAAATTAATTGCCTCCCCTGGCATACACAGTATACAAATGTTTTTATTAAAGATCTACTACAATGAATTGCAAATGGTTCATTAAATCAGTTATGATTCCTTTAGTTGCCCTCATCAAACCAACTTTATATAAGATTTCAAAATGAAATGTTATGCCATCTAAATCAGTGTTTGAAATATGAAATCACAAGTACTTGTATTTCCTGTGTATGGAATCAAAGCCTCTACATGTCTAATGCGTTTAAAAGGTCTTTTTCTTTCCCTTATGTGAGAGTCAACAAATTTCCAAGAACAGCCCACCTTAATGCCCAGATAAAGCCTTTGTTTACCTCACAGCCAGCAAGTTTGAACATGAAGTCCATACATTTTCAGGCTGTGAGGGAAGACAAACCCTGGTCCTAGAACTAGTGTTTCTTAGGTTCAGCCCAACCCATCTCATAGGGTTGTTGTTGTGAGGGATAAGAAGAAGGTGTGTTGGATATGTTCACTGCCTTGAGTTATTGTAAATATATATATTTACGAGATGGCTTTTATTTGAAGCTAGGAGACATTCTGCTGATGCTCAATATCTGAGCCTTTCTTTATGAGTGGTCTCCTTAGGACCTGGCTGTTCTTGGGGTAAATAGAAACTTGCAAATAGAAACACAATGATGCACTGTCATGGCTCTTGCTGCATTCCTCGTATCTTTTGGATGCAGAAGAAAAGCACTCAAGGCAGCATAAATCATGATGGGGTCAGGACAAGGCCATTGCTGTTGGAGAGAGGGAGATTAGTGACAAAAAGGGATTCAAGGTCATTCATGCTGTAAATGGTATATTTATGCAAACATCATCTCTTTGTTACTCCTAGAATTCTGTTTATGGATCAGAGGGCACTTTTTCATCATCATCAAATTAACTGGCCAAAGGCATGGTTTAAGCATGTTGGGTAAACTATTATTTATTTGCATAGCACAAGCTCTTGAGCCCTGAGTTACAGTTTACAACTCACAATAGTAGGATTATCACAAAATACTAAATCAAATAAAACACATTCTGATTTAGGGGAATAACAAAGCTGGCCATTATAATTTTTTGTGGTTTAAAATAAGAGCTGTGCTACCTGACTAAGCCGAATAGAATGCTGAATGATGATATTTTATTATTAAAATATTTAGATTATCTGTTAGCCTGACCTAGTAATCTGCATTTATTTCCAACATACTATATTTGTTTATTGATATGTTCAAGATACAAATCAGAGATTAAAATGAGTTGAAAGAGTATCAACAATCTCTGACAGATCAGAGGCTCTTTTTTCGTCTTTCTTTCATTCCACAACAAATGACCTTATGAACACCAACTGGGTTGTAATTTATTGAAGCCATAATAGAGTTCCAGAGAAAAGAAAGCTATAAATGGTGCAAACTGTACAAGCCATTTATTTGGATAATGAAAGGTTAGTTTAGTTTAATATGATATAATAACCCTTGCATTTGAATGTGTAATAGGATCTCCATTCAGAAAAACTAGGCTAAAAGGTTACCAGTTATCTTCTGTTTACTGAAGTTTGATCAGTAGATCTTTCTATCAGAACCAAGGACACAGAAGTTTGAAACTTCAAATAGGAACTCTGAAGGTCACTGCATTGTTCAACTAATAACAAACATTCACAATATTATGTCAAGTATAGGTAGTGCTCAACTTACGACCACAATCAAGCCCAAAATTTCTGTAGCTAAGCAAGACAGTTAAGTGAATTTTGTCCTATTTTATAACCTTTTCTTGCCACAGTTGTTAAGTGAATCACTGCAGATGTTAAGTTACTAGCATGGTTGTTACGTGAATCTGTCTTCCCCATTGATTTTTCTTGTCAGAAGGTTGCAAAAGATGATCACATGACTCTAGGACAGTACAAATATCATAAATATGAATAGAAGAGAAATAACAGAGTTGGAAGGGACCTTGTAGGTCATCTAGTCCAACCCCCCTCCAATTAGGAGACCCTACACCAGTGATGGCGAACATGTTAGAGACCGAGTGCCCAAACTGCAACTCAAAACCCACTTATGTATCGTTGGGTGCCAGGTGGGCATGGCCTACTGGGTGGGCGTGGCTGTGATGGTAATGGCAGACTGGGGAGATTAAAAAGTTCAATCAATTCTAACTTTGCGAGATATTTTTTTTCCTGTGAGAAGTTGAAATTGATTGATTGATTGATTGAACCTTTTTTTTTTTTTTTGCACATGGCAATGGAGACCAAAAGCAAAAAGGTTTTATAAAACCCAGCTGAAAGCCTAGGACTGGGGCAACTGCACACGTGCCCACAGAGAGGGCTCTGCAGGCCACCTGTGGCACGCATGCCATAGGTTCATCACCACAGTCCTACACCATTTCTGACAGATAGTAGTCCAGTCTCTTCTTGAAAGTTTCCAGTGATGAAGTTCCCACAACTTCTGAGAACAAACTGTTCCACTGGTTGATTGTTCTCACTGTCAAGAAATTTCTCCTTAATGAATCAGTTGCCAAGGGTCTGAATTTTGATCATGTGACCATGGGGATGCTGCAATAGACATAAGTGTAAAAAAGATCATGTCACTTTTTTCAGTATTGCCGTAACTTTGAATGGTCACTAAATGAACTGTTATAAGTCAAGGACTACCTGTAATTTATATAAAATATGTACAAAAAGATACGTACAACAGGTGTTAAGTTAGTAGCACAGTTATTAAGTGAATCCATCTTCCCCATTGACTTTGCTTGTCAGAAGGTTGCAAAAAGTGATCACATGACTCCGGGACAGTACAAATATCATAAATATCAGTTAGTTTGCTATCAGTTAGTTTGATTTAGCTATTTGGGACCTTAGTATGAGCACAGCAACATGACAGTCATTTATACAGTTACTATCTGGTCAAACCAGAGAAAAGATATGAGACATGGTGGTCTTTTGTGCTTTCTGGCAACAGGTTTAATATATTATAAACCAGCATAATATGCTGTTAAAATATTCACTCAGTAAAGAAAACATTCACTCATTAAGAAATGATTAAGACATAAGGGAAACCATTTGAGTTTACATTCTTTACTGAAAATTTGGCTCTTTTGGTTTAAGCAATTAAAAAGTACAAAATTAAAGTCAGGATTTGTTCTTTTTTTTCTTGAGAGACATTAAAACAAACTAACACAAGCAATAAGGCATGTGTAAGTACTTGCATTACCTCTCTGTCAATCAGTAGGAAGTAATGACCAATAGTATAACTTTAGGGAGTGGGAATGAGACACACAATTAATAGATGGGGATGAACAAGGGAAAAAAGAAAGGCTCAGGATAGTCACTTTATTGCTGACTTGATACTCTGCTTGTATTCTGCTGTCAGAAATAAACTTCATTTCTTTTTCAAGCAACTGTCTATGTTCTGCATTTTTTTTTTTTTTTGTCCTAGCTTGGAACCAATTGTATTTCCTTCAAATAACATCATTAGGGTTGGCAGACTTTTCACCTATGCTCCACCATCATTTTGTTTTCTGCAATAAGTAAAATCCTACTGCAAGCAATGCACCCCCATGGATCTAATTATGAATGATATGCACATGACACTGACAACATAGTGGAAATTTGAAGTGGGCAGGCTCTCTCTTGTTCATTATAATTGCTATGCTTAGTAAGAAATCTCAGAGCTCATATCCTAAGTTCATCAAAATGAGTTGTTCTCTGGTTTCTCAGTGGCACTTGCAAAGTAATCGTGGGTCTATCAAAAAGCTGCATGTTATTGAGAGGTATCATTAAAAAAATAATCTCCCACAATGCTAATAAATAAAGCAAAAATTCTTTTGCTGAGCTGATGGCACATAAGGAATGCTTTCTATTCTCAGCCAACAGAAGTGTTTCAGAAAGTAATAATGAAAGAAATGCCCAATAGAGAAATTCAGGCGTATTCATAGCTGCATATTTTTTTAACCAACAGAAGTGTGAGACTGCAAAAAAGTATTATGCTAAACTCATGATGCATCTTTGTTCATTTGCTATATGCATACTTACAGACATTTCATTTTCAAAGGTATTTTGGTGTTTTGTTTTTTATTGGTTATATTCCAGCAGTTAAACAGTTGTTCATATTTTCTATGCCTTGGCATTCCACTTTTGAATGACCACTC